GGCAAACACTAATGATAATAATAATAATAATGCTAAAAGAAAAAAAAGGGGGGAAGTTAAATAAATGTAAAAAGGGGAGGTGAAGTTAGGGGGACGATCGAAAGATCAATAAAAATTAAGGGGGTTCTTCTTAACCTAACAATTATTAAATTTAGAGGCTCACCGTTTGGGGGATATTATTATAGGGGTTTCGGGAATACTTGTTGGGGCGGGAAAGGCAAGAAAAGGGTACTCACGGGGATGGCGGCTTCCTCAATCCTTCTCCTCAAAAGATCCTCAATAGCGAGAATTCCTCCAAACTCTCCACGGGCCACGTGTCCACCAACTACTCCACAAATAACTCTCCCAAAATTCTCCTCAAAATTCTCCTCATAACTCTCCTCAAAATTCTCCACAAAACTCTTTCCAAAAACTTCTCTTCAAAATATATCCAACGCACGGGGCAGCTGTATAACGAGTGATGGCTTCCCCATCCTCGCTAGTTTTCTTCCCCGATTATCGGTGATAATCGGAGATGGTGGGGGAGCTTCCTCGCCTAGGGGGAGTGAGGATTTCCCCCTTCCATAGGGGACTCTTCCACTGGTCGGCACCTGAAAGGGGGCGAAGGTGGTAGGGTCTCAGGTCGGTAATATGTATTTTGGATATCCTATTGCCTCGGGGGTCTTCGAGGTCATATAGGCTAGGGGAAATTATATTAACAATTTGATAGGGTCCGTCCTATTTTGGGGCTAGTTTTGCTGCGAAATGCTGGGCTGCTTGTGATAAGGGTCGGTGCCTCCTCAGTACTATCTCACCCACCCGGAAGATCTCATCTCGTCGGCCTTTGTCATAGTGCTCCGCTTGTTTCGCGAAAGCTTCACCCATATATTTTCTAGCGAGGTCGTAAAAGTAATTCATTTTTTCAATTCTCATTTGCCAAGGGCCGGTGGGAGAGGGGGATTGGGGACGCTATTTAGTGATTTGATGAGGGGACTGGGGGGTGGAGGGATGCGACCCATATTTAGAAACGCGGGTGAAACACCAAGGGAAGAATGAATAGATGTATTTAGGGCAAACGCTAACTCCGGGAGATGCTGGTCCCAATCGCGATGACTGTCGCCCGCGTAAATCCCTATCATGGGTTTGAGTGAGCGATTAATTCTCTCGACGGGGTTGGATTGGGGGTGATAGGGAGGGGTGGTGATATGGGTAATGCCTAATTGGGCTAGGGGTTTCGTGAGTTCTTTTCTTACAAATTCAGTTCCGTTATCGCTGATGCAAAACTGCGGTTTTCCCCAGCGTAAAATCACTGTCTCATATAACACCTTCCAGATGTTCTTGGCATTGGCCTTCCGAAGGGGTTTAATTTCAATGTACCGGGTGAACACATCTTCTAACACGAGGAGGTAACGGTATTGATTCTTGCTGGGGGGGGGATGGGCCCATAATATCGCCCGCGACAGTGGACCAGGGCTCGGCGGTCGTTCGCTCTCGCATCAACCCTTTGGGACTGGTTTGAATCGATTTATACCGCTGGCATTGTGGACAAGACCTGACAAATTTAGCTACATCGCGGTAGATTCCGGGCCAATAAAAATAAAGGGCGACGCGGTGATACGTCTTGTCAATTCCACCATGGGCTGCGTAAGGGTTGTCATGAGCGTCGCGTATCGTCTCGTGCCTCAGTCCTGGGGGTAAAACGGTTTTCCAACGATTTAGGTCAGGGACAGTGGGGTCAATTTGGGGGCAGGGGCGAAGAAAGTATAACACATTATCTTCTACGGTCCAGTCGGGGTATTTGTGGGGGTTGTTCAGTACGTCCAGTTTCTTCTTTTGGTACCACCTGTCCGGGGAAGAATTAATTAGCGCGAGGGCGGTGAGGGCATTGGGGCAAACACGGGAAAGGGCGTCGGGGACGGTGTGGAGGAAACCTTTCCGGTGGACTATGGTCATGTCGTGATTCTGCAGCTCTAATGCCCACCGGGCCACTCGACCGGTGGGATTTTTAAAATTTAACAGCCATTTCAAACTTGAGTGGTTGGTCATCACGGTAAATTTCCCCCCTTCGATGTAGGGGCGAAACTTACGCGTGGCCCATAGGACCGCCAAACATTCTCTTTCTGTCACTGTGTAGTTACGTTCGGCGGGGGTCAAGACTCTACTGGCAAAATAAATGGGTCTGTCCAGTCCAGTCGACGAGTTTGGATGGGCAGGATCGGATCCAAATTCCGATTCCTGTGTCAACACCGCTCCTATCGTCATGTCACCTGCGTCCGTCTGTAGGGTGAAGGGTTTCGTAAAATCAGGGCGGGCTAAAACGGGGGTAGTCGTGAGGGAGATTTTTAATTTATTGAATGCGGTCTGGTGTTCGTCCGTCCAGGTCCACGTTACATTTTTTCGAATTAATCCGAGCAAGGGGATTTTGTCATCGGAGAGGGAAGGTAAAAATCGGGAATACCACCCAACCATGCCGAGAAATCTCTGTAATTCTTTCACGTTCCGAGGGGGTGGGTAATCGGTAATGGGGGCGACTTTATTCGGGTCCGCTTCTAATCCATCGGAGGTCAACAAATATCCAAGAAATTCTAATCGGTCGCATGAGAAGTCACATTTGTCCACGTTAATTGTCAGGTTATTTTCATTGTAATTTGTTAATTAACTGGGCCACAAACCATTTATGTTCTTCGAGGGTGCGGGTAAAAATCAAAAAATCGTCAGCGTATTTCCGTATGTTGTTCGACCATTGGGTGGGAATAATCATGTCCGTTAATAATTGAAACATCGCGGGGCCGTTTTTCAGTCCGAAGGGCATTCGTCTGTATTGAAAGAGTCCGGAGGGAAGTCCAGGGATGGCGAAGGCAGTTTTTTCTTTACTGTCATCGTCAAGAGGAATATGGTGGAACGCCTGACTTACGTCAATTTTGGAGACGTATACCGCGCCGTGCGCACAATCAAGTAAATCTTCCAAACTCTGCATAGGGAGGGCGAGGTGTTTTGTCACGGCGTTAAGGGGACGGTAATCTATGCATAACCGGTAACTATTATCGGGTTTTTTAACTAACACCGGCCAGCTACACCAATCGCTCTGGGAGGGTTCGATGATTCCTTGTTTTAATAATTGGGCGGCCTTTAAAACATGCGCGGCATATCTACGCGTTGCGCCACGGATAGGGGGGTGGTCTTGGGTATCTATGTGCATTGTTAACAAGGGACAAACGGAGGCGATTTCGGGGGCGGAATTTATCCAACTCTTGAATTCTTCGCGGAGGGTTTTAATTGATCTTCGGGAACGACTGCTAATTGTGCTAAGTCACAGGGGGGAGGATTGGCTAGATTAAGGGGTTGCCGTGGGGGGCCGTCACCGTCTGAGGTATACCATACACTAATGGGTTGCGCCGTGAGCTCGAGGGGTGGGGCTATCGGGGGTGTGCGTGTCGTTGCATTCAAGGGTCAATTCTAACGCGTTGAGAGCATCCATTCCTAGCATACAATCGAAAGCAAGGGCGTTTGATAATCTGAAGGGGATGAGTTGGACTCGATCGGAATAGGCTAGTCTCATGATAGCGCAGCCGGCTAGTGGGACTGTTTCGCCGTTTCCGAGGACAACTTCTTCTCCGGTGGCGATGGCGTATTTGTCAAGGTCCACACCAGCGTTGGTACTAATAAATGATCGATTCGTCCCCGAGTCGATCAGGGTGCGAAGCGAGCGTTTTCCTAATTTTATTTCAACGAATTTGCGGTTTTCTAGAGGTTGATCAAAGGTAAGGGTGAGGAAGTCTTCATAATCGATGTAATCGGGGTTGGTTGGGTCATTTAGGGTAATCGTAAACAGTTTGGGGTTGTCGTCAGGGACGGGGTCGGTCCCGGGGGAAGAAGGGGTATAGGTTTCAGGGATAGTCGGGGGTGATTCGGTAGGATTGGGGTCTGTTGAGAGGGTTTCTTGAATGGGTTGATTATCCTGGAGGGCACTGGGTGTGGGGGTTGGGGTACTAATTCGGAGTGGGGTCGGTAGGGATACAGGGGGATGTGAACTCACGGCGGGGCAGGCTCAGGGGTTGATGGTACGGTTATTGGGGATGGCTTGGGGGGTGTACGGGGGATTGGTTCGGGACAGGGTGAGTTTCGGGGTTCGGGAGTGGGTCGTACGGGAGTTCTCTTGGGGGTGGGTTGGGTGCGATAACAAGGACGTAATATTAATCGGTGATCCCGCGGGGGTGGTGTGGGTTTAACACCCCCGCTCCTTAGTTTCCCTGGTGTTGAAATGTTCCATAGGATGGTCGGGGGTAGGACTGGCTCGGGCGAGCATTGGGGTAATATCGGGGGAGTTGGTTTGGTTGTTGTGGGTTGAGGGGTGGTTGTGGAAAAAATGCTTGTTGGGCGAATGGGTTAAGGGGGCATTCGCGTGCGAAATGACCAGGTTGGTGGCAACGGAAACATTGGAGGTACTCTGGGTATGGGGATGGTTTTGAGTTTGTGTGTGGAGGGTTTGTGGGGATACTCATAAGGGGTGGGATATGGCGCGGGGATGGTGAAGTGGGACGGGGAGAGGTTCGTCCGGTTACGTCGGCGTACGTTGGTTGTCTGGGGGGTGAATTTGGTCTGGCGTTTCTGTTACTCTGTCTGGGGGGTGTGTTGCGTCGGGATTGATAGGTGTCATCTGGGGGAGGGAGATAGGGATTTCTGGAGTATTGCTCTACGGGGACGTCATCAGCACGAAGGGGTTGGGCACCGAGGGCGTGATTTTGAGGGGTATCAGTATCGGGGGGATTGCGACTTCTGGGGTTGTTCCGACCCGGGGCAGGTGAAGGGTTAGGGGTTGCCGAGGGATGTCTATACCGAGACGTATCCGACAGGGTTCTCTGCACTAACCTAGCGACCTCAATAAATTGTTCCATGCTGGTACATCGATAACGCCCCATTTCTTTAAAATATACCGGGTTTAATTGGGATTTTAATATGCCTAATTGCCTTTGCAGGGGAGGAGGGGGGTGAAGGATGGAGAATAGTCTGCGGAGACTAGTTATATAATCTCCTACATCTTCGTCTATACCCTGAAACCGTTGGTGGATATCCTGCCATATACTTTCCTGTTGGTCGAGGGGGCAGTACATTAATTGGAACGCTCGCAAAAAGTCATCGTAACTCCTGATATTTGGCAGTTCTGTCAAATACCAGGAGTGGGCATTGTTTTTGAATGCTGAGGGGAGAGCCCGAAGTGTCTCCGCCTCAGTTAACCCGTTGGATTTATAACATAACGTGATGCTATCTAAAAATTTGTACGAATCCTCCTCCCGAGTTCCCGCAAAACTGATTCCATCTCGTTTGAAAAGATTGCTGACCCTTAAATCTTGCGTTTGCAGATCATGGTGGGTCTCTTCACGAAAGGGGGCACGGTGGGTATCTTGTAAACGGGTCTGGGGAAATCCTGTGAGGTAGTCGGGGATAGTGGTGGTTTGTGTGGGGGGCTGTGGGGGAGGATTTACAGGGTAAAAGGTTTGGCAAAATGTTGGTTGGGGAATGCGGGGGGTTGGGGCAGGTTGGGGTTGAAGGGTTTGAAGGGGCTGATATTGGTTGTGGGCCGGGATTTGGGTAGAAATGAATCGGGGTTGTTCCACGTGATAAGTGGAGTGGGCAAAGGGAAGGGGGGATTGATGATGATGAGTTTGGAGTGGTTGGATGGGGACAGGGGTAACTGGTGCGGGGATAGGGGTGAGTGGCTCAGAGGAGTAATAATTACCAGGGTGTACAGGCCTAGGTTGGACAGGGGGTGGTGTGGGGTAGTGGACCGTTGGGTGTGATGTAGGGGGTGCAGGGACAAGGCTTGAGGTAATAGTGTCAGGAGGGGGTGCGTGAAAGGTAACTCGATGGATAGGGGGTTGTGGTTCTAGGGGGTAGGCTGCAGAGGGTTCCATGGTGGATTGGTCGAAGCTAATGGGGTCTTGGTATGCTCCGAGCGTTTGTCCGGTACGCAGGGTGCCAGAGGGGCGTAATGAAAATGAGCCATCGGACTCAGGGACAACGCGAAATCCGACGGTGGTAAAAGGCATCCCCATCGAATCTAGTTCATCGTCCCAGGGAGCCGCACGATCCCCAAACTTCTAACGAATTTCATGTCTGACGAACCTATCCTTGAGTGTGTCGTACACTCCGCGACTTTCGATTCCAAGCGTATCTAATAGAATTAATTGATCGCGAGGGGTGAGGGAGTCAAATTTTCGCTCTAAATCCCGGTGATATTGGGCAATCAGGGCAGGGAGGGGGTTTGGGGGTGAAGAGGGATGTATAATGGGGCTTGTGATGGGGGCAGTGGTTGTGGTGATAGTTGTAGTGGTGGTGGTTGTGGATACAAGGGCAGGGGAAGTCGGGGGGCAGGGTAGTGGAGGGTCAAGAACGATTAGATTGGGTTCCATCTTGCTTTATAAACGAAAAGAAACGAAGGAATACGAAAAAAAACGCAAGCGGTGCGCACTCGGCAGCACGAAAAAACCAACCCAATTTGTGCGCTTTAGGCAGCACAAAACGCAAGATAATAATTCGCGGGGGCGAACCCGCACGGAGAAGGCACCTGTACCTATAACCAATTACCCGTTGCACGGGCGAGAGACAAGGGAAAAATATAAATCTGAAATATAAATATAACAATATCAATATAAACAATATAAAAATGGGGGGG